CTTTTTGTTGACAGTCCAGCCAACAATTTGCAGAGAATTACGTGTATATCAAATACTGAGTACCCTATTAAAAAGCGTTTATTGGGGCTGCTTGGCTGGCAAAGCGAGCACATGTAAGTGCTTTATGAGACTATGGGTTATTTTGTACAGAGATGAAAACAAATAAAACTCAGAAATGTTGAGGGTAAGGGGAAAGGAACAGGGATTCAACAAGATAAACAGTTGCAACTGTTGCTTCCTCTGCACTGGCATTCCATCCACCCTCTCTCGGGAGATGTTGGAACAGTCCAATCTGGCGTAGGCGGAGCAGTGTGTAAGCCTAGTGATGTCCGACATGTTTTTCCCTCCAATTGGACCTCTTCCATCCTCCTTCTCCCCACTCACTCTCTCTCACACCCATCACTACATGTGCAGTTTCCCAGAATTAATAAATTAATAAAGCTTGCATATGGATCCGCACGTCTCACGTCTTGTCAGCCCCGTAACAGTAATCTGCCGATTGTCCTGCAGACAGACAACCCACACACATGAAACTTTCACGGGCAGACTCAAGGAGCAGGGCAGGCTTGAGAGATATGCACTGCACTTGAGGAATTTCTTTCACTATCAGAGGGTGTGATAACACTGATTACAGAACACAAATGGTGTTGTATTGACTTCATAAAGTACATAAGGATAGTGTATGTATTTAAAGACATCAAAATTTGAGTTTTATGGCTCTTAAGACCCGGATATACTTCATTGTCTGTGTTCTGCCCTGTATAGCACACAGTTGAGCATGTAAGCCTTTCAAAGTACAGTTCAGTTGACCGTGAGCACACAGATGTACGCATCCGACACATGTGCACAACTTTGTGGACCTTTGTTTTTGAATGCTACATGAACACAAAAGTTGGGCTACATGCAGACGGCGTGCATGGAACTCAGCAAACTGTGCTGCTGACGAAAATGAAATGCCATATGGACTGTCCATGAGCCGGAGCATAACACAGGCAAGAAAAGTATACTTTGGGTATTAGTCCATGTCTGTTATCTCTCGCAGCATCTACGTATATGCTAATGAACTCCTAGTTGACAAAATTCATATCTACAAGATACACATGTAAAATTTAAAGTCTTTCTCTTCTGTGAAAATGTACAAAAATATTGATGATTTGTCCTGCACTATACAGATTTTTGTCCAATCAAAGTGATCAGGCCTGTTTGCAGAGGTGTATACAAAAATAATATATTTTAAAAGAATATACTTCAGTGCTAAGTAAATATAATGTTTTCGGACACTTAATTGTATGTTATTTGACTGTATTATAGATTAATTTTTAAATATTAAATTAGCTGAACTTAAGTGCTTTTTGACCAACTTAAGTAGGACTTAAGTATATATTTATATGTAATTTCTAATTACTTCTATTGTCTTTGAAATATGATTAAAGTGTACTGCCAAATGTACTGACAAGAATTTTCACATTTGTTATAAAAATAATAATTACAAATGCACATTCAGTACAAAAGTGCACGTCTTTTTCACAATAGATAGATGGATATCAGTTTTGCATTGCAAATGTAAGTTATGCATTTACGTCAAGTGTAAATGTAATGTGCATTATTGGATCCAATTCAATAACAATGTCACTGATCAAGAGCGATGCAAAGAAATGTAAATAGGACATCTGATTCATCTTTCGGGGGTGTATTGGGTGTACACTGTGGTTTTGGCTTATGGCTGTGATTTTGGTTGTGGAGTTTGCACAACTTAGGTTTACTGAGTTCACCTTCATTTATGTACTTTGCCTGTTTCTGCACTGCATTCAAGTGGAGAATCTAATCTGTGCTAGCATCCTAATGAAGTGAGTTAACTACAGGAAGTGTGCTAGGGGCAGTCCCACTAATCTGATATGAACTGGAGACACATGAGACCATGCTAACTTTATGAGAGTCAAAATTGAAAACAAGCTTGGAAAAACATAGTATTCAATGGAAACTTATCCGGATCACTGGCCTTCCATTAATTTACAAATATAGATGAGGAAGAAGTTTTTCTGAATAAATAAACCGGGGATGTAGGTAGTGTTGCTTTCGTCAACGAAAATTATGACTAAATATCGTCGTCAACGAACCTTTATTACGTGACGAAAACGAGACGAGACGAGACGAAAATGCTGGTCATGTGACGATGACTATAATTAAATGTATAATGCAATATCGTTGACGAATAAAAACGAGACTAAATGTGGATGTAGGCTATTTCTGTGCCACTGAAATAGACAGACGTGCATAGATAATATAAACAAATATTTGTTTGCTAGGAATATCATTCATCCCTTCTATTTGCAAGAAACTGTTGCAAATGTGACATTCCAATCTTTAGTCGTCATAAACTTCTTTTTAACAAATATTTAGAGATCTCTCAAGAGAGAAAACAAACACATGATTTATGCTGGACCACACATACTATACAACTAATGCTGCGAAGATTTAGAGAGGATTTTGCAATACGTTATTTTCAATCAATTTCACCTAATAGTCTATGCCAATTTACTGAGTTCAAGATGTCTTTCCTTTCCTTTACAGGATTATCATGACTTTTCCAGTTGTTTGTAATTATAAAGGTTTATATATATATATATATATATATAGATAGATAGATAGATAGATAGATAGATAGATTGCACTCAGCAATTAAACACATTTTAAGAAAAAATACAAATTTTTATATACTTCCAGATGTGTTCAATGAGCATGGAAACCTAGTCTCCAAAACAAGTCAACAACAACAAATGGTTACACCTTTTGGTGTTTGCCTCACACAATTCAGAGCAAAAACATTATTGTTCTCAGGGTTATTGTTGTTGTGGTTGTTTAAACAGTGTTCACAAGCCTGACTTTTACACCACTCACAAATGGCATCAATTACAATCTACGACTGAGATGACAGAGAGAGGCGGCTGCGGGTGGCATGTGATTGGTGTTGCACCAAGAAGTGCTGAGATATTACAGAGTCAGTTTCAATCCATGCCAGAGAACAATCTGGAGTATATAGCTTATCCAGTATACTGTAGCTATGTGACATACCAGTTTAAATCAAACTAGTTTGGATTGCTTGTAGTAATGTGATAATCTATCAACAAATTTCACTGGAATACAGTTGGAAGCCATGTTGTGGTATTTTGGGGCATTTTTGCCTGTACTTTGAAATCAGTAAACAGTTATTCTTCATACAGATATACTCCTGCAAATATCTGCATCAGTGGTAGCTTAGTCATTCAACAGATGTGCCATGCATTCAGAAATTACACAGAATCACCAGATGTAACGACTTTGTGAATTCATCATCGTCACAATAAATCATCCTGCTAGGTCTTATCACCCAGACACCTGTCATTTCCCGAATCCTCGCTCTGCACGTGCTTCACACTGGAGCCCCGTCCACGGCCACTCCCCCAATAAAAACACATGTCCAGTATAGCTCTCTCAGATTAATGCATTTATATCCTAATACAACTACATGCAGGAGAAAACTTCTGCTTGGGTAAAAAAATGGATCTCATTCATACGTTATACTGATTTCATAGATGAGTGGTAAAATGCCTTTAACAAATAGAACACAAAGTCCAGATGATTAAGAATAAGTTTACAGAAGTTTGTGTTAAGCATAGCAGTGTGCACACAAGCGTACAACACACCGAAAGAAGAAGCCAAGTTTGTCTGCTGTTTCCCACAGTCTAGCCAAAGAAAAAGTTAGATTCACACAAACATGGTTTCCAAAAACAGTCTCACCGTGACAGTGCTGAGGCGGGACAGGGTGACACATTCTGCTTGTATTTCATAGTACAACAGTGAAATACTATAAAAATGGCTCGTTTCAGGTCAAGTGTCACAAACAGATCAAATGCAGGTGTTACTGGTGTAACATTAATGTCTTATTAAATATGTATTTCATTCTATTGTGTTCTACTGCACAATGTATTTTATTTATTTTTTTTATTACATTTTTAATAACATTACTGGAACCCTAATTTGTTTTATTTTATTGTTTTTTATTTTTCACCCAGTCTCTGGTTTTATTTGTTTTGGCATTATTTTATCTCAAACAATCATTCCAATAAAGTACTTTGACATTGAACTGAGAGGGTGGGGTATGGGTAACACAACCCTCAGACGAGACCAAGAGGAGTGGCAAATATAAACCGCAGAGAAAAGCCAAAACACAAATTTACTTCATGACAATACATCAAGATACTAAGGCATCATATACGATCTAAGGAAACAATCTCGTCAAATTCGAATCTGTATCAAATTGCTGAACTAATAAGTCTACCAAACCACCAAAAGTGCATGAATCTACTAAACTGTCAAAACAATTGTCGTGCTATAAATTGTATTAATATAGGCTACATAATGCCTTTGACAATTATGTAGAGACCAATGTCCATTATTTTAGTTACAGCATACGTCGTAGGCTATTCATATCTTTCGGTTTGCTTCTGTAATTTGCATTTTGGTTTGTTGTTTGCTATTTCAAATCGTTAGATACACTTAAGTTATATCCCAGCCTTTAACTTCGTCTCGAAATATTCTCACGTGAAATCTAAAGTGGAACCTGAGAGCAAGCGACACTAGCGTATAACGGTACTCCTTATGTCCAAACCGACGACATTCCTAATACAACGCATATAACTTAACATTACTTAGTTTTTAGTTGGACTTACCTTAGCTGTACCCTTGTCTATGCTCAAAGAGACCGTGAGAAGAAAAACGGTGAAGCATGGAAGCCGCATCTTCACACCTATGAATAATGTCCAAAAGGACACGCTGCTGACGAATTCTTCTCCGTTTCAAGCTATTTTTGCCTCTCTTCTTCCCGAGCTTGAACTATACGTTTGTCTGCATCTTTGCTCTAAACGTTATGTGGCTGTTGTTGAAAGTAATGTCTTGTAAAAGAGCCCACCACACCCCCTGTCAGGACCACGACCACCCATCAATACGCACCGACACAACCCTGTTTAGAACAGCTATCACTCGCGTTTCAGCATTGTTAGGGGAATTTTAAGTCTTGGAGATAAGTAATTCTCTTAAACCCGCTTTGGCAAGGTGGATTTTAGGTGAGACAACCAACTTTCCCAAAGCGCGAACTCATCGGGTTTGCGCGCTTGAGACTGGAGGGTGCGCGATCTGAGGTAAACTTCTGCCGTTACTTCACCTTCAATAATGGACAAGAGGTAGTTTAAGATTAAAAAATATGAAGTATAAATGTGTGCTTTTGTGACTAAACACTTTTAAATAATAACAAAACAGACTGTTTGGCGCATTAGCAAATGGTACCAAATGGTAGCTGTGTTTTTGGAACATGTTAGCTATAAGAAACGACTAGTAACTATTAGTTTGATCGCCTTGAGCTAGTGTGTTCGTTGCTGGTCCATGAAGGTCTTTAAGCTAATGACAGGTTGGACCAGATAGAAACCAGTTAGCATGTTCCAAAACACAACTGCCGCCTTATGGATCTATTAGCAAGGAACATGAGATCTACAAAGATACCAGTAGGCCTACATATAATTTAAATATGAACAGTGAGAATTAGTTTGTAACTTTTAGATCATAAATCTGTAACTTTCAGATCATTGAGTATGCAGTAACAAGATACTGGAATTGAGCAGAAGGAGAGATTTCAGATGTTTTCTGGCTCACATGGAGGGTGAGAACCATCTACAGCACTGGAACACATTAAGGTTAAATCTGTTGTTTCTTTGTATTGTAGAAGCATGTGTTTTCCCTTTGCACACATATTCAGTCACTATTTTTTCATATTGCAGGTGTTTTCTGTTGTTCTTTGCAGTCCTTATCCTTACAACAGAGGTCAACGCAGTAAGTGTGCTTTTAATTTTACTATATTAAGTGGACAAAATTAAATACAGATTGTGGTGTCGGATTTGCGTCTCATTTATGGTCCTACACACTGAACAGATGAGTGGGAGTGACCTTGTTTGTATTACAAGTTCCTCATTTGCAATTCACAAATGTTTGCCATTTACAGATATTTTCAGTGTGCATGTTCCTTTCATTCAAAGCTTGTTTTATTTTAAAGCCACATTTAATTTCTCCCATGGTTGTTGGTGGTAATTTAACCAACTGGCATCCCACAGTGAGAGATTAAACACTGGCCTGAAGTTAATGTGGAAAATGTGTTTGGAGTCTGTGAGTGGTTATGTTTTAATACTTACAAACTGACAGTATGTGTGTACATTTTTTTTTTTTTTTCAATGATGCCTCCTAATGCTGGTGTCAATTTGGAACGCTATTTAAGATGAATAATGCTGCATTGGGGTGAACTGTTCATTAACTGGATTCAAGTTTCTAGAATCTCAATGTTAATGTTAAAAAGCACATTTCCAAGAAGACAGGGTTGTTAAAAGTTGTGAAAAAGCTGGAAATAGTGACAGATCTTTACTTTATTATATTGTGATGTATATCCCAGTATATAATGGACTGTTGAAAAAGAAAACCTGTAGGATGGGGATTGGTTTTATGCATCGGTTATTGATTGGATGTTGAGATGCAAGCTTTAAAGGAATAGTTCACCCAAAAATGAAAATTTGTGAAAGTTTACTCACCCTCAGGCCATCCAAGATGTAGATGGATTTGTTTCTTCATTGGAGAAATTTGTCATTACATCACTTGTTTACCAATGGATCCTCTGCAGTGAATGGGTGCCGTCAGAATGAG